GCCCGCAGCGGTGTCCTTGCCTGCGGGCTGCCCGCTCCGCCCCGGCTGCAGAAGTTCCCGCTGTGCGGAGCTGCGGACAGCCGGAGGGCAAAGCCCTCGACCGTGGCCGGTAAGGGCAAAGCCGGGCATTTAGAAACACGCCGTGCCTTGGGTTTTTGTAGTGGGGTTGCGGGCAGGTCTGCCGGCTTTGCCCCCGCCCCGTCTCCCCCAGCTCACTGATGAGCTCCGGGAAGGGCTTCTGCATTGCAGGCTCTCGCCCTAGCTTCACTTCTGCATTCGCGGCTTTATCTGATAAAAGGAGCCAGCTCCCTGGCCGGGTGGTCCGGTGCTGCTCGGCCAAGAGGCCGATTTGGGCAGGTGATTCCTTCTAGGGTTCCTGGACCCTGTCAGGACATTTGGGGGATTGACTCGTTCCAATAAATATTAGACATATGTATGATATTTGTTCTCTCTCTGAAAGAGCTACAAAAGGGAATCTGTCAGGATCTGTGTGAATAACGACCATTTGGAGTTCACAGGGCGCAATATAGTGCAGTGAGATATAACGGACATATAAAACATAATGCAGTGAGGCACACGACCTTACATAATCTAAATTTAAAAAGCTCACTACCCCTACGCTTACCCTGGAGGTTGTAGGAATATGTCTGCTCTAGGCTCTTTCTGGAGGCTCGTTAAGTATCTATCTGACATAAAGATGCAGAGCCCCTCGTGAGCCAGTGCTGAAAATAAAAGAATGATGAATTGTTGACTACTTTTGCTGTAGTTCTGTCACAATAAGTTCCTCATCACTGCTCAGTATCACGCACACACAGTGATACTCATGGCTACGTGGGCATACATAGCTCCACACTGCAAGAGGGAATGGTCTCTTCTGTTGTCCCTTAGGTGCGCCTTTAAATTGACCAACTATAGTGCTGTCGTATTTTAGCAAACTCTTGAGGCTTCTCTCCCTTGGCCTGAACAGTGCTACAATTTCTAGCATACAGATATAAATTTAATGTAAACAGAAAGAAACCTTTCACACTTTTCATTTGACCTTCAGCATCTCAGACAAATACTTGAAACTGATGATCAGGGCAAGTATTTTGCAATGGACTGGTTTAAAATACGTTGCTGGACGCAACATATACAACTCAAATCACATCTAGGATGACACACAGTCAGTGTTCTGAGCTCTATATCCAAAGGAAACTAATGTCTGATAAATTTGGCCCACATTTTATTTTAACTTAGTCCTTACAGATGACATTGACTTTAAAAAAGGTTGCTATGGCACAGATTTAAAGCAAAGTATATTAAGCTTCTGGAATTGAAAGTGCTGTCAGTAGGAAAAGTGTTGTTTTCTTATTTATAATCTGTTATTAAAATATGAGTGTGATAGCTGTTGAGTCTGGATCTGACTCCGTTTTCTGCTGTTGGTGTGAATGGACTAAATAGTCCATCCTTCTATGGATGAAGGCCAGATTTTGCCCAGGTGTGCATGTGCCACTCACACAGGGGTAAGCTAGAGTTTCCCCATTTGAATCTGGAATATAGCTGAATATTGATGCCTACCTTCCTCTGGGATACTTTCTATTACAAGCCTGTATGCTTTTGATAAAGCTGTAACATAGATTGTGGTGTGGAGTATAGAACCAGTGTGGGCTATGTATGCCCACACAGCAGAAATGATGGTATGAGATGAAATAGAAATTATGTTTTTGTGAATCTTGCTCTTTTGTGATATTATGTTTTTATGTTTGTAGTTTACAAGAAGCTCAGTCTTCTTCAGGACAGCTTAATTCATGTATAATGTAATAACTGTTAAGAGTGTGAAGCTGGGTAGGGATCAGGTGTAATAGACTAATAATTTGCTATATGTATAGTGCAAAAATAACTGATCGTTTGCTTAATCATAACGTATCTATTTTTGAAAAAGGTAGTTTTTTGCAAATGGGATCTAGAAGATTTTGGTCTTTGTTTAGCAATACAAATTCAAATAAGGATGATAATGGCTGGATGTTATAGACTCCAGGTAAGCGTGGAACGAGCAGGTGGGAAGGTCCTTAGTCCTTTCATAGTAAGCCTACCCCTGCATCTTTCATTGCCCCTGGCACATCTCCCTTATAGTCATGTTGGCAGATTCAGCAAAAAGGCCAGGGACTGAAGAGACTTTCAGTGAATGGAACTCCAGGTCAGGAATTTTGTAATGCCTGTATACATGCAGGCATATGAACATTGATTCAGATCTTACCAGTGCAACCATTGTGCTAATCATTGCCATAGTTGCCCTTCCTGTTACTGATTAAAAAATTAGGGAATGTATGTTTTAATTAGCCAAAGTACTAATGTATGTAGAACATCTAATTTTAATTTAAAACTATATGTTTTAAATCTAATCACTGTAATGTTTTCATGTCATTTAGAGTCTTGTATGAGTTCATTGGTATCGTATCTGTCTTATTTGGGGAAAAAATGGTATTTTATTACATTTTTTATTTACTGCATAGACAGATAAGAACTTTAAAAATGTGTATATCATCTTATTGTCACATATGGTTATTTAGCTCATTATTGCCTTTAGATGCAGTAACTTCTGTAGCCTTAATAGGAGGAGAACAACACTGGCAAGGCGTTCCCACGTAGTTATGTATTGCTGGAGAGAAAGTTGGAATTGAAAGGGGGAGAGGACTAAGGGAACTAGCAGAATATTTGTCACCAGATAGTCTAGATCTCAGATCTTACAGTGTTTAATGAAGTCTCCTTCTGTTTTGTATGTTCTGCATTCCCAAAAACATCGTGAAATCTGAATCTCCTTTTGACTTGAATTTCATAAAATATCTTGGGACTCATATTAAGCAAAAATTAAACATAAACTTTTAATTAAGGAAATGGCAAGCCCCTAAAATACCAAGTGCAACTGTTATTAAATTGAGGACTGAAAGAAGTAGAAAAGGCTTTTTGTTGTTGTTGAAGATTTTGTAGTCTACTAGTTCATTTATAGTTGATACGCACTGCACGGCCATGCAAATGCATTCATAGCTATTTAGACCAAAACATAGAGCTAAATGGTATGTGGACCTTCTGAACAAATTAATCAGTGTTGCCCTAATGAAAAAAACAGGAGATTAACCTGGCTGCTTAGATGGTCTGAAAATTCAGCAGTGTAGTCTTATGCAAGAGCAGAAGTTTACCAGTTGAAGTGCGATATAAATGTTGCATAGGTGTTACACTGCATCTTTCTGTATTTCTTTATTGTTGGTTTCCTAAGACAAAGCATGACACAAAACTGAGGAAGTCGAGTGTCCCCAGATAAGATGGCAGAACTGTCCTCAAATCCTTGATAGTAATTAATTGGTTTTATTTTAAAGGCAGATTAATTAGTATATGCATGTAAATGTAACAGTACAACTATTTCACCGTCAGATATTTTCTAGTCTCTTCGTTTAGCTGTCCTTCCCCAACTACTGACCCAAGGGAGTAAAACTGTAAATCTAACAAGCATGGAGATGCTGGAGATGTGAAAGACTTGACTTACAGTTCTGTTTTTATATTGTTCTCCTAGCATAACTGCTTCTGTGATGAGTATTTCTGATTTTAAGTAGTTTGAAGAGACAAAGTTAGTTGTGATGTATTTCGGGTCTCATGCTCCGTTTACTTCAGACTTTTGTTCTTCCTCTATTTGAGGTCAATGCTGTCTATTTTAGGATACGATTATACCAGTGATTTTTAGTCATAGTGCTTTGCTGTAGTGTTTTACTCCAGAATATTACAGACATTATCTGTATTTATCTTATTTAATATCTCTTGGATGGACCCTTGGCAAAGCTTTAGGTTTGAAATAGAGAAATTGTTGAACTTGCTTATTAGCTTTTATTAAAAGGGTTTATAAATTCATTTAATATTTTAGAGTATCTCAGCCTTTTGAAATACACTTTAATTTGGAAAAAAAAAATCAAAAATCCCAGGACAAGAGTATAAATTTGCTCTAAGATAGTTTGAAAATATAATTTCTTATGTAATATATAGAAGAAATGGAGGATTGCTATTGCTGAAAGTATTTTTGAATAATTCCTTTTTTATTTCAGAATGAGTATATCTGCAAATACTTCATGATACATTTAGTAAAATTAGTAAGTTTCACGTTGTGTATTGAAAATTTCATCAGTCAGAACACTGAGTTACGCTCTCTGATCATGATTTCAGTCTTGTACGCGATGCTTCAATACCATTTAACCTGTGCAGAGAACAACATATGTTTTTTTTTTAATACAAGGGTAAAATAGCCATTTGTCTGTGTCAGTGTTTCACAGATACTCAGTGCTCTACAGTGAATTTTTTTTCATGTGCACGTTCTCTTAGGATCTGCTGAGTAATTACATGCATTGACTAGTTAATCAAAGAAGGGGCAAAACCGATGTAGAAATTGGGCAAACTGTGAAAGAATTTTGATTCTCATTTTTGTCACAATGGTTATATTTCTACTATTGTTTTCAGAATCAGAGTAAGGAACACTGAGAACTTGTTCTTTAATTAGATGCTTGAAATACCACGTTTCTAATCCTGATGTCTGCTGATGCTATTAGTGATCTCTGTCATATGGAAATTTACAAAGTTGTTACTGCTGCATATGACCAGGAGATGTAATACATTTCTAAGCTATTGCTATGATGTTATCAGAAACATGTTCTAATGCTTGTGATTAAAATGGCTAGCTGCCATGGTGATGGTACCATAGAAACTGGTAAAATAATCATTGCTTATTAGGAAATCTGAATGGAAAAAATTCTTCTCTATTTTTCTATCTTTTGTGTT